ACTTGTACATGAGTGGTGGTGTTTATAGGTTGGATCGGATTGAAATAAAATTTACATACATAATTAATATATTTTATGTTTATTTAAATTCAATCCGATCTAAAATATTAATTTCAGATTTTGTTTGTGTCTAACCCTGTTTATTAATGGTTAATCCAAATCCTTTTTCAACATGTCTATATTATTTTCTTATAATAATCGATATCAAATCTATTGATCGACTAATTCAGTCAGATCGGATATTGCAGAGACGAGGGCAACCCTCACAACCAAGTTTGTTTCATTCGTAAACGCTAAGATTCAAACACCCGACCTTACTTAAGGGATCTAGTGCATCTTCCCACTCGATCAACGGATTGATGGAACACTACAAATTTTTTGTATCGCATCAAACAAGCTTCGAATGACAATTAATTTTTAATTTTTTTATTTAAAAAACATTTAATATTAAAATTATTTATTTTTTATTCTTTTTAAACCTGGACAATTTAATGTATTTTTAGTATTCATATTATAGTTACTATATATTATAAATTTATAAAATGAATATTAAATGTTGGAGATCGACTCGTATTTTAGATGAATCTAATTTTATTTTCAAACGTCGTCGTATAAATTATAAACAATTTTTCCAGATGCCCCTGACCAAAAGCTTTGGCCTTTTCCATTTTCGTTCAAGAATTTCACAAGACAAAAGGAAAACCCCTCCATGTTATTTATTTATATTTTATATTAGCCGGCTGCTGATAAATAACATAGATCAAGCTATGTCTGAACACACATAGTAAGAGTATAGTTTGTTGATTGTATAATATGACTCATGATTCAAGTACGACGTGCAAAGAATATATAGAGAGAGGGATGTACATGTACCTATTATTAAAAATATAAAAAAAATTTATCTAAATTATATAAAAATTTAAAAAATTTAGTAGAACAACTGTCCGCCAGCCTGTTCGAATTATCCTCTCTCTCTATATATACAGGTGATAGGATGAAAAATTAACAGGACCATGGGTGCACCATCGTTCATCTCTCTGTTTATGTTGTTGTATGCCTTATCTGCTGTTCGAAGGAGGGCTATGCCATGGGACGAAAAGCTACTGTACAGAGCCATACCATCCAACTCAGCTCTCTTCTACCTTCCTCTATTTGCAGCTCTGCAACCAAAGGTAAATTAATCCCATCTCTTTCTCTCTGTCTTATCTGCGCATTTGTATTTGTGATGCATGTGATTGGCTTCCACTTTCAACATTAGACAACAAGTCATCTTTAGGAGTCGTTCACATGCACGGTCCATGCTCTCAAGTCTATCAAGATAAATCATATAATATAATATGATTATTTAATACTTCACATTTTATTTATGTTTATTCATTTAATAAATAAACGAACATAAATAAACTTTCGATTTTTTTACGGGCCGGACTACTATTACCAGTTTACCTTTTTCTTTTTTCAATGATGAGTAATGAAGGCGAAAATAAGGTATATACCTTAGCAGAATTGTATTTATTGAGTGGGTTTAATGATAAAAATAAATAAAGTAAATATGAAATTATGGGTTGTAGACCAGATCCTGAAAATAAAGCCAGAAAACATCAGAATCAGAGGTTTGTGGCATCTACTGAAAGTATAGCTTTACTTGTGGGATATATCATTGCCATTTGGCAACTGGTACTATCTTCCCTGTGGGATAGGAAAATGTAATTAATTTGAAAAGAAAAGAACTGGGTATAAACAAATAAGGCAAATTTCTATTAATGGTACTTGTACTTTTGAAAAAAAACTAATATTGCCCTCATGTTATTTTTTTTCTTTCAATGTGGCTCTCCAACTCATAAAATAGGCCCAATAAGGTACTTTGGCCAATATTTTTTCGACGTTGACCGTTACATTATTGACGTGACAGTTCACGGTGTTGACATGATAACCCAGTGTAACAGATTAACGTGACAGATGACATGATAAATGAGTCAAATTGGTACCTTTAACGTGACAGATAGATTGTTACGTCAGTACCGTAGACCGCCATATCAGGATTGTGAACTAACACGCCGGTATTATAATGGTCAATAAAAAAACGTTTATCAAACAATCACATTAAATTTATTTTCTGAATAGAAAATTACATTAAAAAACAATACAAAATCCTTATTGGTTTTTTTCTTCTTCAAAATCTATATATACTTGTGATACTTTTGCCAAAAAATAATGTATTCTCAGCCTAAAATTCAATCCAATATATATTTATGTATTTGAATATATAAAGCAGCACATGATATGTCTTTACTCGGAATGCAACAATTGCCATGATCTGAGGCAAAGTGAATTGTATTCAATAAATTTATAGTTAGATCATACGTGGACAGAGAGAGACTTTAATCATTAATTACTATTATTAATTTCTGTTCCATTCTAAATATCCAGACCACTCAATAAGCTTACCTTCACATTTTAATATATAGTTAAAAAATGTTATTGATTTTATTATTATTTAAATAACAAGATTGATAAAAATTATCGAAAATATTATTATTTTTTTTACAGATTTTGTTATTATTAGGCGCTTTAGTTATTTTTTCTACCGATTTTGTTATTGTTGGACACTTTACCAAAAATGTTAAAAAAATATTAATTTTTTAGATAGAAATAATAATATTTTAGGTAATTTTTTACCGATTTTATTATTTAAATAATAACAAAACTAGTAACACATTTTTTTTAACCATATATTAAGGGTGTTGCACTATAGAACTTCCTTATATATATATATATATATATATATATATATATATATATATATATATTATATATATATATATATATATATATATATATATATATATATATGCAACTTTATTTTTTTTAATTAATTGTAAGGATGGCAAACGGGTACAGTTTCGTGGATTCCGTACCGCATCCGCTCCAATTGGAGCGGGGATGGATATAATTTTAGCGGGTAGTGGGCGGGTGTGGATTTATAAAATGGTACCCGTCGTGGGTGGTGGGCGGGTAATGGGTTTGAGACATTACCCGCCCCACATCGCCCGCCCACATCCGCCCGTCCAGCTAAATATCTATTAAATTTTGGATCATTATGAATTTAGATGTAATTTTAGAGACTAATTTATAAATTTTAATATTATATAATATATAACATATAATTTAACTAAATATTAAGGATATTTAGTCTTTAATCTGATATTTAATTAGAAAAATATTTGACTCTTTGATTAAACCCATAATCCTACTAACCACGTCACTTTCCATGTTCTTTAGCCCATGCTGCCCATTCAAACACAAACTAACCGTACTATAAGCATTAACATCAAAAACAACAGTTTCCATGTTCTTTAGCCCCTCAAAACCCATATTAGGCACACTATGAGCATTAACATCGAAAGCTACACAACAATCCAGCTCTGCGACTACATGCTCCCTACAATCTGTCTCCATAACATTCGTAGAGCCACTCCTTTGACAAATTGAAGAATGCGCTGCTACCCCATCACGAACTGTCTGAGAACCAACTCCAACATCTCATTAGTTTGTTGTCAGGCGGGTCTAGATGGGTATGTCGCTAGTGGGTAATGGGTGTGGGGATGTATTTGAAAATGTACCCGCGTGGGCGAGTGTGGATTTGAAAATTTGTACCCATCATGGGTGGTGGGCGGGTGGTAGATTGAAAAATAGTAGGTGGGTATGAGGATGGGGGAGGGAGTATCCTCACCCGACCCGCCCCGTTTGTCATCCCTAATTGATTGATTGATTGATTTCTAAAGAATTAATCTTTCTTTTTAAAAAATAATTAAAAGGACAAACCATCTAATTGTGTCATCTACCTATTACTTACTTTTTTTATCATTTAATTTTTGTTTAAAAATCTTATTTAACATTACCTTTTGGTTATGTTTTGAACACCGATCATTAAAAAATAACGATGATATTGACATGTCACAGTAATGTAATACTACCTCAGTATTGAAAAATAATTAAAATAACACTTCAACATCATTGTTATTTTTTTAAAGATGAGTGATTGAAAAAAAAACCCAAAACGTAACGTTAGATAAAATTTTGAAGAAAAAAATTTAAGTAATAGATGGGTGACCAAATAGGTAGTTTATCTTTATAAGAAAATAGGATAAATTATGTATTTAATCACTCAACTATATGCATAATTTTGTTTTGGTCATTCAATTATTTTTGTTAAAATCATACTTAAACGTATATTTTGTTATATTTCGGTCACTAACCGTTAAAAAAATAATTTAACAACGATTTTAATATATCATCATAAGATAACCCTACGTCAACATTGAAAAAATAAAAACTATCATATCATCAATTCTGATTATTTTTAACAACGGATGATTGATACGAAACAAAAACATACATTTAAGTATGGTTTTAGGGGGAATAGATAAATGATTAATACAGGATCAGGTCAATATTTGGGTGTATTTACCCTAAATAAAATATAAAAACGGAGGGACGTACTGTATTCTCCTCTGCATGTGCACCACCTGTATGCTTCAACGATCAACCACCTAAATAAGAGCAGTTGGGTGGACTTGGTCCATCCCCAACTTCAATTATTACTTCTCCTGGTTCTGTAACAAACCACAGTCCAACTTGTAATCAACCAGACGGAGAGAAAATCATTTCATTTCTTTAAAACCGTCAGCTGCTAATCTCCATTTGTAAGTCTCGTCTTTTTATGAGCTTTCCTGTGCTTTTTCCCTTCCCCCTTCACATTTATTATTATGCACTGCATTTCATTTCCCCTTCTCCTTCTCCTTCATCGCGGTATTATCTTTGTCTCCTTTCTCCAGTATTACAAGCTAAACTTTCATTTTTTGCTTTGGATATGTTCGCCTTCAGTTAATTTTTTATTTGGTTATGTTTATTTATGGCTTTATTGAACATGTTGTGCACGAGATTAGGAGGTTATGATCTATGCATTTCGAATTTGGTTTTGAATTGTTTCTGGCAATTTTGATTTATTTGCAGGTTATGATTCATAGTTGGATCAATTTTAAGATGATCCTCCAAATCTGAAGGCTGATTTTTTTCCTTTTCTTTCATCTGCTAAAATTTATATTGTCGAATGCAGATGCTTTTGCTATTTCCTGATTTGGGTACAAGGGTTAAAGCGTCAAAATTTTGATAAACTCCAGTCATAGTATGGGATATCTGAATTCGGTTTTGCAATCTTCGAGCCAGGTTCATGAAGTTCGACCTGTCTGCGGCGGAGGGCTTAGGTTGCTGCCTTTTCTTCTTCTCTCATCATTCTTTGCTTTTATCTAAAAATTTTGTTCGATTGATGCTCTTTTTTGATTTGCGAATTAATCCCCCCCAATTTTTGCCATATTGTTATTGAGGTTAAATATTTTTGTTAAATGATGTAATGATTTGGACAATATCAATTAAAATTTCCCCTATTTTCTGGCAACAGTCAGAATGGAAAGTTCAGCTATGGCTATGCAAGCTCTCCAGGGAAGAGGTCTTCGATGGAGGATTTTTACGAAACAATGATTGACGGTGTTGATGGAGAGATAGTTGGCCTTTTTGGAGTATTTGATGGTATAATCTTACTCTTGTGCATCTATCACTCTTACTCTTGCCAGCATGCATGAAATGCATAACTTACTAACATATATAGGTAAATACTTTGTAACATCTATAGTGGTTATTATTTCTGCTTTAAAGAGTGTGTATGATCAATAATCTCCTTTGCTGTACCATTCCTTCAGTTGGTAATTTTTTTCTCTGTTCACGATCTCTTCTGTTTTAAAATTAAGCCTTCCCCCTTTAATCTTGCTCTAATCTGTATGCTTAAGTGATTAAGATTGCTGGACAATAATCCCCCCTGTAATAATGATACACAGTAGTCTCAATGTGGAGAATGTATCTGAAAAGATTTTATGTAGATTCTGGTATTTGTTATATGCTCCAATGTCAATGTGGTAGCAGTACTTGAAGCCATTTCTCAAGGCTGTTATTGGCTTAGGATGGAGCATTATCTGGGTAAACTATAAATTTTATATTGAGGCAGTTTGTAATGCAACAATGAAAATCATATCTTCGCCAAGTAATATAAAAACTGCAATTGTTGGCTAGTTATGTTTAGTTGCAAATTGGTTAAATCAATCTTTACGGGCATGATTGTTTCAGGTCACGGAGGTGTACGAGCCGCTGAATATGTGAAGCGCCACCTTTTTAGTAATTTGATCAAGCATCCAAAGTTCATATCTGACACCAAGTCTGCTATAGGTATTCACTTATAATTACCGTATCATATTGTTGTGATTTTTCTAGTGGGATGGTCATTTGTTAACTTGTCTTTGAAATTGTTTCCAACCTCCAGTGGATGCATACAATCATACAGACTCTGAATTTTTAAAATCAGAAAATAACCAGAATAGGGATGCTGGATCGACTGCTTCAACGGCTATACTTGTTGGTGACCGTTTGCTAGTTGCTAATGTTGGGGATTCCCGAGCTGTTATCTGCAGAGGAGGCAATGGTAAGAGTCGTGGGTTTTTGTTTTTGTTTTTGTTTCTTTTTATTTTTGTTTCTTTTATTTTCATCTAATCTCTGACAGCACATGAAGTTGGCTTTGGTTTTACCTGGAACATGAAAAACTCACAAGGCTTGTATATTTTCTGTATAACTTTAAACGTTTTAAAACAATGTAATCATATATAATTACCCTCACCCATTTCTTGTAGTTGTGAATTTGTTGTTTATCTTGTTGATGGATTATTTGAGTGCTGAATTGAATTTTATACATGGCTTGTCTATTGTATGTCCTCGTTCAGCTATTGCTGTGTCTCGTGATCACAAGCCCGATCAAAGTGATGAGCGACAACGGATTGAGAATGCAGGAGGGTTTGTCATGTGGGCTGGTGCGGGTTTACATCTATCCATTTCTCCTTCCTGTCTTGAGTTCCTTATACTTGCCATACTGATCTCTTTTATAATTCTTCTTTTTATTGTGGCTGAAAATTATCTCTGTAGGAACTTGGAGAGTGGGAGGTGTTCTTGCTGTTTCTCGCGCATTTGGTGACAGGCACTTAAAGCAGTATGTTGTTGCTGATCCAGAAATCCAGGTTTGGTTGGAAGACTTAGTTGAAATAAGCTTGAGTTCCTGAGATGTAAATCATACATCATAATTAAGATAGAAACCTGCAATGCACAAACCCAGCATGAAAACTCTATAGGATTCCAGATGATTATGATTTATATGGGTATTAAATTTTAATTTTGTACTAGGATTTCTATTCATTTTTGAGAGTTTTGTAATCCGATATCACTTTTTGAGATTGCAGGAGGAAAAGGTTGATAGCTCTCTTGAGTTCCTTATACTTGCAAGCGATGGACTGTGGGACGTTGTATCAAATGAGGTAGGAAACAGTTTGTTTACTTAAAGCCTCGTCATTGACGACAATCGAAGAAACAAGAGTAGTTAATAACTGCAAGCTTTGCCTTTGATCAGGAGGCTGTGGCAATAGTAAAGCCAATACAGGATCCCGAGCAAGCAGCAAAGCAGCTGATGCAAGAGGCATCCCAGAGGGGTAGTGCAGATAACATCACTTGTTTGGTGGTCCGTTTCATGGCCAATCAAGAAGGTTCTTCTGCCAATCAAGCCGGTTCCCCTCGCAATGTTTCTGCGTAAGCAAAGCATAACCCTTGCTTGCCACCCAAGGTTTTAGGGTTTGATTCACTAGTTGATTGAAAACCGAGGTTAAATATAAACTTCAGTAGTGATAGTTAAGTCAATGAAAACTATTAAAGAGAACGGGTATGTACGAGGAGAAAAGTCTACTGATGTACATTACATCTGTTACATAGACAATGTGCACGTGTAAAGGGCTTCCAAGACTTAAAAGATGAAAGTCCACTTACGTATGTTGTAAAAGCACTAATTGTCGAGTACACACTTAACATTGTTATATCAAGTAGGTAAAAATATAAATATTGACCACAGTTAATCATTCAAAAGGTTTGAATAATTGAAATAATAGAGTTTAAATTGTCGAGTAAAACACTATCAAGATCATATTTCTTTTTTGAGTAATCTAGGATGATTGTAAGATATTTTATGTTTAGAATCTTTCTTCATCGTTGACAATAAACACACATCCGTAATTGTAGCTTTTTAAATTTAAGACATCTAGGAAGAAGAACACTCCCTTTAACCAAATAAGACCACTCAGAGTGTTCACTATTAAGAGCATAATTGAAAACGTAATAAACGTTTTAGTTTTAACAAATATATATTTTTATATAAAATTTTATTTACCAAAAAAATATGGGAAAGTTGATGAAAGAGGATTCAGATCATCATGAAGAGTCAACAAGGCAAAGCAGCCATTTTTGTACGACGAGCGAACCTTGATGTTCATCATCATCATCCTCAATCCCAACTCAAAATCAAAGTGAAAAACATAACCCTGGATAACAAAGCAGCATTAATGACACGTTAACATAAAAATAACAGCCGATCATCAAGAAGGAATGGACCTTTTTGCCATTACCTAGGACGAGCTAGCGAAACCATTTATATAGCTTCTTCATCGCCGTCTAATTCGTTTAACACCGTTGTTTCTCCATGAAAACAAAAGAGAGCGAAGAAGAGTTCATCTTCCATGGCTTGCTGTTAAATAATCGATCGAATGACTTTGTCTATTGCAGTTTCTGTCCGACTATTACTAATATATATATATATATATATAATTATGTGTGCGATGCAAGGATGTTGAGCTTGGTCCCCAAGGCTTTAACTGTATGTTTAATTGTTTATTGTAAGAATCAAATCAAATCTCCCAATAAAGTCTCTTCATTCGTCAGCCACCTAACACGCTGTTAATCGTTGAATAAAATGGATTTGTCTATCCTCTAACGTGTTCCATGCATTTTCTAGTTCGTCAGCAATTATTCGACGACCATGAAAGAGATGAGAAAAGAGAACAAATGTGATATAACTAAGGGTAAACAATGCATTTAGTACCTAAACTATCAATTCTAGTCCGTTTTAGAACCTAAACTTTCATTTTTTTTAAATCATACCTAACGTTTAGTTTTATTTCATTTTAGTACATCGCTCAAAATTTAACGTTAAGTTTTGAAAAAATTGAAAGTTTAGGAACTAAAACAGACCAAAATTGATATTTAGGTACTAAATACTTTAAATTTTTAAAGACGAATACTAAAATAAAATGAAAACTAAACGTTAAACATTATTTTGATTTTTTTTAAAGTTTAGTTATTAAGACGGACCAAAAATTATAGTTTATGTACTAAATGCGTAGTTTACCCTATGATTAATTATATTTTTCTGTATGATTACTATTAATCACAATTAAACATTTTTTTGTATAAGATAATTATTGCCTAGTAAAGATTATGAAATATTATTACGCTATATTATTGTTTCAAACTCTTTATTTGAGTTTGGATTAATTTTTTTCTTGAATTATAACGTGATGAGTATTAATTAAATTAATTCTTTATTATATATAATATCATTTGATTTCATAAATATTATTTATGTTAGTACTTCGTACTATTTGATTATATTGTGATAATTGAAGTTCTATTATTTAAATATATCACTTTTTCCTAATCATTTGTAAACATAGCATCCTTCGCAATATATTTATACAAATGATATCTATTTTTATGACGTGAAATAAAGACACATTTTATAAAAAATACATTTTTCGTAATATGTTTTTATTCTCCATAGCAATCCATTTAATAAATGTTTCGATTAACGTAGAAGGTAGGGCACACTAAATATTTTTTTCTTTCAAAAACTTTAACTTTAAAATTTAAATAATAAAATTAAAATTTTACGTGACGAGCTTCCATGGAAATTTTTTAAAATTCAAAAGATGATTGTTGTGAATAGCTACTTCATTATTATATATAATACCTTTATTGATATGTTCTTCAATGGCATTATCTCTGTCGAAGGAGATGTTAAGTCAGAATCGCTTAAGCTAAGCAATAGTATTTCAAGTGTAATTGTTCTACTAAAATTGCACAAATGAAAGTACAAGTTAAAGTGATTTTTTTTTTGTGCTCTTGATTCCAAGACTTTGTCTTGATTAATTTGAACCAACCTGCATCGCAATATCTAATTTTGGTGGGTAAGTCTTCTATCAGAGATTTTCTGCATATACAAAGACTCGAACTCGAAACTTTACTTAAGTAATATCAAGCTGCTTACACTTAAACCCAGTGGCCTTGGCCCCCATATGCCCAAGTTTAAAAAATTAATTATATATTTTATTACATTTAATTTTTATTGTAATTTTATTTAATCAAAATTAAATTAATTAGAGTCCTATTCAATTTTAAGTTTAACTATAATTTTACCTCTTCAAAATCTTAAATTAAGAGATAATTTCTTCTAACTTTTATATATATATATATATATATGATGTTATCTCTTATTTATTTATTTATTTATTTATTTCATTACGTGCTTTTTAAATTCAAATAATTCTTTTTTAAAGTCTAAAGGTAATCGAATATCTTAACAGAAATTTTGAGTTTTTGATCTTCTTTTGCAGGTTTTTTATTACATTTTTTTTTGAATTTTTATGCTTTGTTTTTATTTTATTCTTTAATTACTTATGAAACATGTGATGTTATTAGTCGTTTGTTTAGTAATTTTTCAATATTATCTATAAGGTTATAGTAAATTTTTTAAAAATTTAAAAGATACTCTATTTAAAGATCATATCACTGAAGAAACTCTTCTATGTAAGATTTTGTCATCAACTCTTCTATGTAAGAATTTCCACCGAGGTTTATCGGATAGGAGTTGGCGATCATTAGATCTTCGACCATTAGAAACTCTATTTAAAGATCATATCACTGAGGAAGCTTCTTTTAGGATATGAAATAATGTATTTTTATCGGGACTCTATCTAACGGTGGACGACGAAGTTCATAGAATAAGAAATTAAAGCTTTTAAGGTTTTTTTTAACATAACCATAAACGAGTCTCGTAAAAACCACTTATAAACCTAGTAAGGGAAAAAGAATACAAAATTATAATAGCACGTCGTTCATAATGTCATGACGGATGATATCGGGACAAATCGAATAAAAAAAACAAAGATACCTAGTGCAGAAATGTCCTCGCAATGTCTTGATATCTTGTGTACAAGCATAATTGAATCAGTTTCAAACTGAACATCATTCCAACCTTTATCACATGCAAACCGCAAACCAGCAAGCGACGCATGAAGTTCCGCAAAGCCAGTTTCAAAGCATCCAACGGAAGGTTGGGCTAAACCACCAAGGACCTGGCCTTTTTTTATCACGGGCCACAAGGTCAACAACCGCCATCCGTCGACCACCATAAAAAACGCCATCGGCATTAACTTTAATTACCCCCGTTAAAAACTTTCAAGGTTAGCCAGCTCTAAAATATCGTCTACATGACTTATATCTGGTATCCAACACATTCTCCATGACAAACTAATAAATCCGGTGACGTTTCTCATCATATCTTTGCGTCTCTCTCTTCCAAGTAACACCTATGTCATAACCATTTTTTTTTAAAAAAACAAATACCTTTGTATAAAAAAACGATTACGACTCTAATTTGGAAAATTTGGGAAATTTGGAATTAATTTGGAATAAATTGAATAGAGTCGCCATCGACCTTTGGGTTAGGTAGGTCGAATACCTAAAAACGTCTTTTAAAACAATTTTAAGAAAAAATCATTTTTTAGACAAAATTCGGTATGCGTTGCCAAAGATTCATTTAAATGGATTCGGAAGTCGGTTACGCGTGGGGAAGGATTAGCACCCCACAGCGCCCAAAATTGGTACTGTGTCGCTTACACATTGTCATAATGGTGGAAATTACAAATCGAATATAAAGTTAATTTATGATCCATTTATCGAACATTAATTAATTTGCTTCGAATTATTTAATTAGAGAAAATTCTTTAACTCGAAAGGAATCTTGAAATTAGCAATCCTCCATCGGGACAACTAACTCGAACTATTTCTCATTCGTAAAAGAATATTCTACCATTGATTATGTTAAAATACAAATCGAATATAATTAAAAACAAGGTTTACATACGAATAAATTGATTAACTGAAAACGTGAATTGAATACAAATTAAAAATTTTGAAATTTACATTCACATAAAATAAAGTAAATTGTCATTTAAAATAACACACATTGCATCGTTTGAATAAATTAATTAGTAAAATATACTCGACTTATTGCAAGTTCCTATGTCGTTAAAATGCCGTATCGGATTGTACCACTTCGACCAAATGGTACTTTCCACGCCCATTCTACGCATACGTGTTCTTGAAAATATAATCGAATATTTCTTACACAGATAAAGATATAATGAAAATAAATGTAATTGGAAATACAAAATAAAATATTTACATTAAATGAAATTGAAAACATTATTTACATAATCCAAATAATTAACTTAATGAGTAAAATACACATCCATACATAAATGTCTAAAAATAAATTAGTAAATATTACAAACCAAAATAAATATAAAACATTTAAGGGGCTAAAATAATAGAAACAGAAACTTAGGGGGCTAAACAGCAAAAAACAGAAAGTTAATGGACCAAAATAGCACTAACCGAAATTTAAAGGACTAAATAAAAAATAAAAATAATTTAGAGCCCATATCACAAACATTAAACAGTCAAATACTAGAAGTGAAAATAACCCAAAAGTAAAGCTTATGACTAAATTGAAATTTCACAGAAACATGGAGGATCAAAAAGTAATTAAATAAAATGTCAGACAGTGACCAAAATAGAACATTTGCA